TATATATACGAAGATTTAAGAATTAAATTATCGGTTTGATTCTGATGAGCATCTTTATAGTTATGTTTTCATTTGTATTCTAACAGTGGCTCATTGTTCACGAAGCAGATTGATTCTATAAAAGAGCATTTTATGTTTACTGATTATGTTCAAAATGCTGCATTTTGTAGTGGTTCATGGAAGAGAAGAGTTAGTTTTAATATTCATATAGTTAATTTTAAAAAGTAAGAATACTGCCATTGAGGTGAGCCCTCTGGTCGCCGCATCAATTAGCGTTCAACAATGGAATTGCATTTTGCTGCGGTGCATAACTCATGATTCAATCTCATTTATTGCATAATCATCATATTACCAAGAATGAATTGTTATCATTATTTATAATGTGAAATGCTAAATGTCACATTAATTATGCGAACATAAATAAATGATTTCACGCTAATTAATTACAATTATTGTTGTGTTTGATTCCTGAAAACCATTCGGCTTCAATTTTCCAATGAATGATATCATAAAGCAGAGGAAGTTGTCAAAATGGGTACTGTTTTCGATAGCTGGAAAGGTGTTTCTCTAAGAAAGCGTCGTTACCAAATAAAAATGCGAATTCGTTTGGTGAAACAAAAATGGACAATCGACCATTCATCATTATGTTGACGATGCCGTTCTATATGTTTTAATAATCACGAAAGTTTTGCGCAAAATTTATCAGAAACAATCTCGAATTACTGATGATGAAAAGAGCCGTAACAGTAACGAATAGGCTTTTGATCGACAATAATGAGCGTTTCGCAATCGTAATCACTTTCGCAACTGGATTATTCTAATGGAAATTTCCAAAAAAGGTAGAATAGCCTCCAAGTGAGTAAATGAACAATGAATGAAATCGCGTTCATCTGGTCGCATTGTATTGCGCTGTGCACTCACCAAACCAACAATTGACTACTACTACCACTGCAACAACAAGTTTGTATCATTTGTTCGTGTATATGCATGATTCGATCCGGTTTACGTTTTTCTTTTATGTTGATACTCGCAAAGCAGACGACTATCTGAGCAACTTGATGATTGTAATATGTGTTTCGTTTTATGGGTCGTCGTTGATGATCACCGCGACGTGTGTGCCTATATTCTTTCCTATTACTGATACGTTAGAGTCAAGCTGTTTTTTACTGAATCTATTGACCCATTGATCCACCGAACAACAGTCTGTCAAGGAACGCATAAACAAACAGTCACTACTGTCAGATTAGTTTGTCATTATCACATCAAAATATGCCTCTGCGATCAGTTCGAGTCTTCATTCTGATAATCTGCTACCTCAGTCGCATTAAATATCCAACATATATATGTATCCCTTTACTTCCAAAATGAGTCAGCACAAAGCTGTTTTCATTGCAGTTTCGTTACATGAAATTATTTCGATTGTTCCTTTCTCAAATCGTGCAACTGCTAAATTATAAATTCTCAAAATTGCATATTGCCGACAATTTTTGTTAAGAGAATTTCGAATGTTTGCGATAATTGTACAGGATTTTACATCGTTCAGCTCGATGAAATTCGATTATAAATCCTTATTATCTCCAAATTAGCATACAATTTCAATTGTGATTGCATACAAAGAAGAATTTATATATGATTCTTAATCCATTTATGTACGATTCGTAAGTGAATGTAGCAATTTTGGTTAGTTGAGTGTGTTTACTCTATCAGCTGTTGGATGCTCGGATCACCAGTCCGTTACAGGTTTTGATGAAACACCAACTAATCGGAATACGTGCAAGAAATTACCACCAAATTGATTCATGATTATCGCTATTCGCGTTCATCACTATTTGTTGCTCAAAACTTCAGTTTAATTTTCGATCAGTGAAAATGCTACGAGCGAAAAGCAACTTGAATGCTTATTCATCGATCAAATGCATTTGAACTCCATATATCTATATGATCGTTTCTGAATTACAACAAAGCTTTACAACAAGCCTCAACGAGTAAACACTTCAAAAACAGATTAACATTCATGTTAAATTCATTCGATAACTTGTCTATCCCACTTTTACAAGTGAATTGTGCTACTTTAGCCGTACCGGCTTCAACGACTTTAGCTCCTTCTTCTTGTCTTTCACGAATAATCTGTTTCTGTGAATAATTAAAGCAAAAAATGCAATTGCCATTTCAGCCATATGATGTGATTTATATGAACTGAAATAATCAGAGATTTTGATATGTATATTATTGAATTGTTTCACATCACTATTTTATTCTCGATTCTTTAGTATTGTGTATTATCAGTATTAATAATATCAGATTGTAGTTATTAATTATTACTTGGACATCGGGTGGTTGTTTCGTCAATCGCAGTGAGCGATCGGCGGAATATTCATTTTATTAGATTAATGATTATTTATTGAATTGGCATTTGACTGTGTTTAATTATGCGAAGTATTCACGGCGACTAATTATTTACTCGGTTGTGTTCGGTTGGCCTGCTCGCCTAGCCAGCGCGCTGGCATAAATTGAGGCTAAAGCAATGCGCACGGAAACGTGAGCATATTGACTGGCAACATTATAAACGTTTGATACTAGCAACATTATAAACGTTTGATAGCCTGCTTGCCAATCTAGGTATTATCAAAATAAATCCCACAATGGTATGTGAACTCACTAGGTGGGTGTGTACGTCAATAAAACGACACGATTCGAATATTAGATTGCTTCTGTCACATCAATGGGACAGATGCCTCATAATCAATTCCATGCTTTAACCGTTCACAAATCAGAATGCTTGACAGTGATCCAACTGCTTAGTTAATTGTTAAAATTATATTCGTGCCATCAGCAATCTCTTTTATTTGAAATATCCTCAAATGAAACCAGAAAAAACAGGGTATTTTTATTCAAGTTTCTTTTCAAAATTCAGAAGAAATTATGTACGCAAAGTTCTCAACGGAATCTGCTTTGATTCATTGATTATAAACGTCTCTCTTAACAGTTGAAATAGAAAAAGCACCCAACTGTATGTTTAGCCTGGGCCAGCAATTCTGTAACTGTTTGATATTTTTGAATAGAGGAGATACTGAGCTACTAGATAAGAGTCATTTTGTTGATCAACAATGCATCAATCCAAAAATCCTGCTGCTTTTCTAAAGAAATATTGTGCGATAAAGCGATTCTTTATTATCACGTCGACTAACTCTATGCATTTGATCTTTGTGTTGATCGATCAATATTTTACTACAGTAATTCAATGAGTACCACCTTCATGAAATCCGTACACTCAAATTTCCTGAACAACCAATTGGACACTTTTGATTTCTTCAGATAGAGCAGGTCCGGAGCCACAATAAAACCTGCTATATCCTTAATTGGAACTATTTAGTTTTAAAGTTTGAGCAGTATTTGGAGAACATCTTCTCATGATGAAAATATTTTCATCTTCAAGCCATCTGTATGCTCATTATCAGTTTTGTTGTTAATGTTTTATTTTCTTGCCGTCTACGTGATCAGCAATCGAATAATGTTATTGTCATGAAAGTGTAAATGTAGTTAACATAAATACATCTGCAAATTTTGTAAGTTTGCGTGGCGATTGAATGTGGAATCATTCAATCAAACGACTAATCAGTTAACGTGCCTATTAGAAGTGAATTTCAACGAGTGTTGGTTCATAATGAGCGACACAAATCGCTTGGTAATGCTTTGTGCACTCATCACTTCGAAAGTGTTTGCTCAGTTCGACCCATCTGATTGCGGTATCAAAAAGGTATTTCTTGAAAGTAGTCGAACATTAACATTTCCAGCACAATTCATCGTTCACTTAAACTACTCACGAAATAATTTCCTCCAAATAAATGCAGGCACTTATCAAAATTGAAATGCTTTGCGCTGACTTCAATCAATCTTTTAGGGTTGCATATTTGTTCCAATAAGCTGTCAACATCACAACATTTGTCGAGATATATTCAGCTTTACACCTAATTCGGACGACCAATCGATCACAATGGAGATTTTCAATGTTGCTTCAAATCCAGCCTCGAATTACATCGCCATCGGATTTTCAGATGATGAGCTGATGGTAAGTTATCGAAAAGATTGCTCAGAAACACTCAGAAACACTTCATAATATTAGGGTAGTGAAGCGGTGACGTATTGTGCTTTCAACGATGCGAACATTGGTGAAGTACATTTGTCATACAACGAAGGTAAATCGAATGTGGCTCTTTTCAAAGACAATGAACAGGTACTTTCGTTCTTAATAAATATCGTTGTATGTCTACTGAATGGGGTTGAACATCCCAATTCTTCAACTTGCACTTACTATTATGGTGCATTACTTTACTTCACTGCAACCTTTGATGTCGGTTCAATGAACGGAACGTTGAAAAATGAATAAATTTATCAGTATAATTACTGTTATTGTAAGTGTTATAAAGTAGTATTATTATTGAGAAAACATCAATATTATTATCGCTTTATCCATATTTTCGTTTGATTGCAACAAAAGCGATAAAAAGACAAAGCGAAAAAGAGGACAAAGTTATTAATAGTGGGAAGAGTTTTGGCTTTATCTAATGCATAACAACAAATATCGACAAATTTTTGAACGAACACAGTTGTTAATTGCACAAAATAGTTGCTAATTGGTCAAGACATGAAGCTGTTATTAATAAACGTTGAAAGAGCACTGCTTCCCAGAACAGTACGCAACAGTTTATGTGCAACCTTATTATCCTCTCACTTTCGTTCATTAAGATTATGGGAGATGGAACATTTTGGTGTTGCTATTTTAATATGCTTTAGCGTCAGAGCATTTCGTCTTCGCAAAACGCTTCAGCTGCATTACTTTAGACAATAAACGAATTGTCATTCGGATATTTAAGTAGCAGTGAATTGACTAATGACGTATCAAATACGCTAAGGTGAAGGGAATGAATGGACATTTATTAATGAGGAAATAATAAAATAAATTATAGCCAGTGAAAGAAATGAGTGAAGTAAACGCTGCAATTCTCAAAAGTTATGTCATTGGGTGAGATATAACAGCGAAAAAAGGCACAGTTTGATAGATGAATAAAAACATGAAGTACAAAAACGAAGGGAGTTGAACCATAATATTATCATCGACTTTCCATCAAAACTGACTTCAGAAATCATTCAAAAGCTTGGAATGATTCAATTTCACACCAGTCACTCTTCTCTTTTATTTCGTTCATTATAAATAACAAATTATCTTTTTGAATATCCATTCAGTCAAAAGTAATTCCTAAACAGTCACATACATCGGGTTTGCCTTCGAATGCTTATTTGGATTGAATTGAGAAATTTTGTGAAGATCATTCATAATTAATCAATTGAAATGTTCATCATTCGAATTGGAATCTGGCACTGAATACTTTATAGTAGTGTTGTGCGGAGAATTCCCGAATTCGAGGCCCTCTTCCCCGACCTTTTTGGAGCGACAGCAATTTTCCGGCCATTTTCGGGGACTCTCCCCATCCCCAAAATGCTCTCAATTCTCCCCGTCCCCGACTTTTTTCTCTTCCCGCACAACACCACTTGACTGTGTCATTCAAACAGTTTTTAATATAATAAAATACTATTATACTCCACCGATCACCAACACCTGCGCCAGTGTTCTTCGGTAGTATTGTCCTTGTTGGAAGTGAATCATTCAGCTCTGATACACTTGCAATATTCGTGTTTCGATTATTAGCAGTAGTCGATGCTTCGGTTGTTGCTCCAATCCAACTTCACTCTGAACAAAACAAAGCAAAACACTGTTTCTGTTGGGAGTTTTGCTGGACGTTATCCATCGCTTCTTAACATTACTATTTGTTGCCTTATAAAGTTTGTCATCATTGACAACGTCTAAGCAATAAACGATATCGGTTCGTCGATATTTATTACGCGACAAAAAATTGCAGACGCCTGTTTTCGGGTGCCATAACAACATATCTAATAGACACTCTGCGCTCTCACACAATATCACTTCCAACACTTTATTGTTGTCTTGTATGATCAATTTGTTCGTTATTATCATGATTTAGAGGAATGACGAGAAAATAGTCGAATTGCTGGAAGCGAGTCGAGAAGATGGTAAAATGTATTGTAAGTTCAAACAACGCATCGTCGAAGATAATGACCGTCTTCCAAATTTTAACGAAACTTACAATATTCTTCTCGCACATGGAGCAACGCAAGATCCTAGAAGTACGTTTACCTCAAAGGTTTTCTCCTAAATCCGATTTGGCTAAAAAAATCAACTTATGAAACCAAATCGCTAATTATATCATCACGATTGTACTTCAATCAAGAATGTGATCAGTAACTCAGTACAACCAGATCTATAACATGACCTAGGGTCTACTTGCATCACTGATGAAAGAGGTTTTTCAGTGATAATGACATTAATTTCAAGAACTGGTTGTGCATTCGCTCCAAACATCCTCTGATGATTATCCCATCGTGGCTCCAAACAAATTCAATGTTGCGAAGTTTAGCGAAGAAAAAGACACACCAGAATCATCGGAAGTCCACGTTGATTCGATTATTTCAAAGAAAACAAAGCGTTTCTTCGTACTTCTTCACGGTTCGTTCATTGTATTCAAATACACCGAATATATTCTGAGAAGTATTTCTATTGGGAATACCCGAGAAACGAATTCATTTGAGGAGAATGCTAGAGACAATGACGAAAAGAAATATTTTTGAAGGTATAATGATGATGACTGCATGGTTATTCCTCATTGCTGCAGCAATCATATCAGCGCGCTACTTACGTCAATTAGCGCCCAGCAAAACTCCTTTCGGTTTACGTATTTGGTTCCATGTTAGTTTTGAGCAATTTCTTGTCTAAAAAACGCGAACAAAAGAACGATTGTAGAGTATTAGTGCTTCATTCCAGATTCATCGTGCAGCAAATATCACTGCAATACTAGTGATTTGGATCGCTTTACTGTTCATATTCATTGGAAAAGGTTGGCGATGGACTGGCCCGGCGATCGGTCGTTCTCAAGCTTCGAACACTTCACCGGGTGCTATTCATTCGCTTGTATGAATTTCACTGATTGGTTTATTTAGTGCTTCTCAACCTCTGAATGAAACAACAAGTGAATATTCAGAATAAATATTCTGCAGTTTGAAAGCTGCTTTTAGATTGGTGCCATATCAGCTGGTCTTGCTACAGCACAGCCGTTCGGTGCATTGTTACGATGTGCTCCTGAATCGAGAATAAGGCCCATTTTTAACTGGATACACCGCACCATAGGGCTGCTTTCGTTCATTCTAGCTGGTTTGTTTTTTGTTTTTTTATTTATTTTAATGGCAATCAGGCGTTTCAGCGCTGGAGTATTCTCTGCGTGTAGCATGTTTGGAACAAAATGCGTCAGAAATTCATTCAACTTGAACAATATACTGTATTTCTTCTATGGATTCGATCTCGCATCAGTCATTCCCTATCCATTCCCATTGCCGCAAGCAACAAATCAACTTCCAGATATCGTTTCAATCAATACTGTCCCTGAATCACTTATCCTGAACACTATAAAACCTTCTTTTTGCATATGCCAACGATTATTCATGCATGCCATCAGCTGCGTCAAAATGCCTTTCATTTCACTCTTAGCCATCCATTTATGTACGTCTATCTGAAGTGAACATCACTAGAAGTTTAATCAGTTTTTAAGAAATCAGTGTGCTCATAGCTGCCATATTCTTCCACGTATGGAGCAGTCGCGGTTGGGCGATATTGTTGATACTGGTTTATATTCTGATTACGATTGCTTTTACCGTGACCATTGAGGTGAAAGTTATCTTTTTCTGTTCTGATCTCATCTTTTTATCTTTTTGATTCAACAGTTTAATAGTGTTCGTTAACTGAGATGTTAATTAAGTGAGCAATGTAAGTCAATTTCATGTCGTATCTTCAGGTTGTCGCGTTCAGAAAGCGACGTGAACTATCGAAAATGTCATCATTCGAGATGAACGCAGCTGATCAACGCCGTCATGAGAACGTGCACGACAATTTAAGAAATACTACCGAACGAAAGGTTGTACTTTGCGAGAGGTTTACCACAAATATTGCTCAGGCTTTATGAGCACTTCAAACTGTTATGGGTTTTCCTATGGGAAGGGTTATCTCGCTTCTTCGACAAACATTCATGTTTCTGATCGTATCAGTGTCGAAGAACAGAATTTCTAATTGAGCCAACTTTCAGATACAAACACTGACGACTGTTCTTGCGTTATTATTGTCAACATTGACGCTCGTAATTACTGTTCTGCTCGTACTTCAGATCGTTTTCTCTTGATATAACATATGATAGCTTTTCTCATTCGATCGCTTTCTTCAATCATTTTCGATTTATTTGCAGTCATGGCGTGCAGTTTATAAAGCACCTCACTTGTTGAAAATGACCATAATAAAATATCAATATTATTACTGATACTAGACACTTCATTAGAATGATGTCGTTGACGAGAGCGATAGCACGCTTTAATAAGCGTATTGAAATGTGCTGATGATAAGGAATCAACTATTCTCTTGAATAGAACATGTCACCAACTCATTCAAATACTCAACCATTAGCGGATTTGCCATTAGCAAATAGTTTTTAACTGAGATCATTCACTTAGGTCAATCGCTGAATTTTCATTCCATAAAAACATAAGAAGTTGTTAATTTTCGACGGCTCAACGAAAAATCCCAGAAGATAAAGCATGAAAATTTCTGCATGGGAGGTCTTATGAAGTGACTTGATTACAAGCAGTAACGCTAAGTCCTAATTTCGCTGCGGTTGCAATTGCAGTGCCTTACGAGAGTGAGAAAAATGGTGAAAAATATCTTGAAAATGATGTGTCACAAACAGAGTAATAAATAGAGTGCAAAATTTGCATTGGTGCTTAAGAGTGTATAAAAGACCATTGGGGAGCGTATGGAAAAAATGGGAAGTTCTATTATCAAGAAAACAGAAGAAAGTTGAGAAAGTAAGGCTTACGATGGAGGAATATGGGAGAGGATCATGCGAGATGTCGTCACGTATAATCAGATCGTAAGCGATATTGGTCCGGAATACGCATGGATGAATAATTTAAATTACTGGAGGGTAATCTCGCAGTTTAGATCAAGGATGAAAGGGGTTTGGCCAAACAAACAAGAAGATGAAACGCTTGTTGTATGAAAATCATGTAAAATACAATCTTTCAGTAATAATGCAGCATATTTCAATAGCGTCAGAAGGATAGTTGCTTTTAAAAATGATATTTCAAACAAGTTGGCGCTATAAATATGATAAGAAATGTCCGAATAGTTGTTTTCTGCCGAGGAATTCTTTAGAAGAGATCCTTACATGCCTATGCATGAAAAAATATCACCGTAAAAGCAATTCGCTGTATCATGTTCACGTCTTGTGCGTCACTCGGACTGATCAACGTCTTTTTATTCATATTCCAATAGCGTTGATCAATGTGAGCGAAACATCTTCAGTCACAACTAGGGGTCGTCTTGAAGCAACTTTCTGACCAGAGGGGGGATCCCATCGAAGAGCGAAGCAGACGGGCGAGGGGGAGGTTCGATAAAGAAATCGACGATCGGAAGGGTTCCCGTTCCCTGACGAGCACCATTCACAACCGTCTTATACACTTAAAATAATACATGCAAATAACCTCGCGGAGTTTTCCTTGAAAATTTCTTTTTTTCACATACATTTCAGGTATTTTCAGACTGAATACATCAAAGGTCCAATACAAACAAATTTTAATCAGCAAACAATTTTATTGCAATTATTCTGCTAGGCGACATGATATAAATGAGCATATTCGCAACGAACGAAATGAAAGTATCATACAAGAATAATCAACCTATATCAAGAGATCCAAATAACGACAAAAATCACCATCAACGGAAGAAAGTAGTGAATGAACCAATAATGCAATCAATTTCTTGACGAAGCCAAGTTCAAACGAACCCTTGAGACATAGAAATGAACTGATAAAGTGCAATAGAGGATGGATGCACGATTTTCTCATGCAAGATCTTCGAATGACAAAACGAGATAGCAAATGGAACATAGCGAGGAAACATTGAATATCGCTCGATTAAAGAAATAAATAAATGAAAAAGTCTCAACGAACAGTAATGAGCAATTTTCATATCACATAACATAACCGCACCAAAATAACAAATATTCTTCGTGTAATATGGATTTCGTTGAAGCAATAAGTTGCTGCTTTAATAAATAATATTAGGATCTGTATCACGATACGACGATGAAGCTGCTTTTTCTGAGGGATTCTCACTCTGACTCAGTCTTTTATAACGAATTGAGGAGCGTCGTGATGCATTCGCTGATTTACGACCTTCGATCAATAAACCTAGAAGAAGACAGACTGATCATATTAAAATCACTCAATATTTCTCTTCTGCGTAACAGATTCATTCTTGTTATTTGAACTAAAAATAGCATGAATAATAACTAATCTATACCATATAACTAATTCTACAATTCCACTCACGCGAATAAACATAAACTTTCGTATTTATTCAACATACCCAATATTTTCTTCTTATTGTGAGCACCGATATATAATAACGTCAGAATAATAGCAAACGTAATCAGATAGTAAATGAAGTGAGAATCCTCAACGCTTGCGAAGTCTTCGTCGATGAACTGTAAAGATACAAAATAAATCAATATAACTGCGACACAATCGATTCGTGAAAAGCATACAAACAAATATTCAAATATTCAGCTATATTCAATCTGCTGAATTTATTGTGAGAAATCACACTCAAGCAAATCAACGGAAACACTGTAATCTGAATTCGCAATCAATTAAAAGCATTAAGTGATATACAATAAAATTAACACTCACCTTATTCGAAAAATTATTACTTTCATCAACTGATGAATTTTGTTGCGAATTTTCAACTTTATTAACAACGGTTTTCGTTGACATCTGAAAATTGAGGCTAAATCAATTCAACAACAACCAACACTATAGAAAATAACAACTAATCCGAGAAGGACAACAACTGAGCAGTATGCTTCATACCTAATTGCACTGAGTACTGAATCAGAAACAATACGAAGAAATTTATGAAGTTACAAGTTCTTTATAAGCACGACTGAATGTAAATATCGTAAAGAAGTGACAATTCATTATCAAGCTTTTACTAAGCAATTCTAACTCAGAATTAAAAATCATAATTGAAATCAGAAGCAGTTCTTGCAACAGATCGACTGACGTTTTCACTGCGAACAATGCCGTTTGGGGATTTTGAAGATGAAGCAATAGGCTCTTGTTGATCAGTGCGTTGGCTACTGGTCTGATGCGTGCCATTTTGCCCTCCTATTCCATTACTCTAAAATAAATATAGCAATGTTAAAAATTGAGCAAAACAAAAATATCAACGTAATCATTAAATGTACGCACTGAATTGATCAAGTATAAGCGTTCAACGCCCATAATCACTAAAGTACCACAAACAAACATATTAACCTTCATCCTCTTCTCGCCTTCTTGATCTGATGCTTCTGTTGTTCCATTATTACCCTTTTCGATCACACCTGTCCCTTCCAAATAATTCGCTGAATTTGTACCAATCTCTATTTTCTCTATTACAACAGTCATTGAAGGGTTGTGGCAACTATACAAAATTTATCGAGCATCCATAAAAACATGGTTAAAGTCTAGACTGTTCCATCAGTTTTATGTGACAACATTTCTGATTCTGTTAAATCTCCACTTTCAAATCCAGTCTTACGAAAGAGAATTAATAGTGAAAACCACACGACTTCCCTGAACTACATTCTACTGTATTTGAAGCATCAAATAACTTTAGCGATTCAAATACTGACGATTTTGACTGACTGAGTAATTTTAATGAAAACTGATGCAAAGAATACAATAATTACCTCCATTACTGCTCTCGTTCACTGGTGATAAAATTGCGTAATCAAACAAAAATGAGAAAATAAGAGTGAGGAAGATTTTTCTCATTTTTGCCGTGGCCACGTGTAGTTGGATGCGTTCATGAGAAATATATTTTTTTTTGATTTTCCAAGGTCGAGACACAACCGTTATATATGAACTAAAAAACTACAAAACTAACGTATATGCCTCTGACACATCGTTTCCGGGACGCAAACTCCGCACATTTTTAATGAAGGAATGAATCTATTAAATAAGCAGGCACTTTTGCTGATAACGGACGCATGTGCCTAGGTTACCACTTTGTCCCTTGTGCAGCTATGCAATTCGAAGTCAATCCAGGAGTATGCTTACGCTCACACTTACCGCTTAACCAAGTGATGAAGCTAACGCATAGGCTTCGACTTATGTGTCAAGCGTATGAGCACACGAGCACCTGTGATAACGGCGCGGTGGCGAAACAGGAAAAAAAGAATTACATTTGGCTTTAAATCGAACTCAACCCCCGAATTACAGAACCAGCGACTGGTCCCGTAATTTTCAGTCAAAAACAGTATTTATCAGAGTGTGCGACAATTTACTTCGTAACAAGTGCCAGCCGGACAATTTGCACCACGAAAGTCTATGATAACGCATGCCTCATCATTGAGTAGCATGGTGCTAGATTTGTCGTAGATGCATTTGTCGGTCACCCTTTATAAGTGAGAGCGAAGTGGTTGGTTGGATAAGGTAATTGGTCACTATGCCACTCGGTTAGAAACCCAAAAAAATACCGCATAACCGAAAAAGGCAGATAAAAGCTAAATGGAATCGAATGACTCCGGGGTGAAGTTGGCTGCCGACAAATTTTTCATCACATGTGACCACCGACCGACGAACACCTTATCTGCTGCCACCGAATTTTGGCGTCCATCGATAAAACAAGCTCTGAGCATCCGTCGGTGGTCATCGAAACTCGCCCTTCGGTGATCACCAACCGATTAAATTCTTTCCACTTCAGCCTGTGAACCCGGGAAGCATGACCCTCGTAGTAGAAACGTGATTGTATAGTTTAAGTATGCGCATGAAAATCATGCCAACGGATCGGATTGTCTGAATGAGACATTTAGTGTTCTATAACGTATGCAAAAAACTGTTTTCCTTTCAACGATAGAGACTGATTCCTATGTGATGCTATGCGCAAAGAAACAACAAAATCAGAAGTCCGCACTTCTTGCATCAAAACAGCACTAAGTTAGAGTAATAATCGCACTGAACACGTCCATAAAAGTTTTAGAAATTTGTTACAAGTCATCGTCACCTCATTCTCGAATATCTTGTCGATACTGCGCTGCGCCAGGTTTTGAAACCATTAATTTATGGCAGTCCTCGGTTCAAATTCTTCATTTTATTCCATGCGAGTTGTTCACTTCTCGTTTCAAACTTCGAATATCTCAGTCGAGTACGATACTAGTTTCGGCTGCCTGTACTCTCGCAATAGTGATTTTAAAAAGTACCAGGAATCACCTGACTGAGCTATTGCTGTTCAAAAATGCGTATGTACTCCACCAAAATTCTCCTCTGATTAATTGACAGTCATGTCTGGAAATGGAGCTTGCCTGTGGCCTTGCAGGCTTAGACTCTGAACTGAACGAATCCATCGAGTTTGATCGAAAATCAAATCGCATAATCCCGCAGCTATCGGTTCGGCATATTCGCCGATGGGGTTTTAGTGTAAGGTCGCAAACCCGAATCTAACGCCGAAAACACTACCAAACTGTCATCACCCCATTATACAAGTGCACTGGAATTCATTCAAAATCACATCTTCAGCACTCTAACTTTCATGTTCTCTCACTCACGTTGCTAAGTGGCACTGAGAAAGCGGACGAACAAACAAGCAAGCACGCAAACACACAGTTTTAGTATTACTAAGATAGACAGATGGAATACATATCAGTCATGAACGAGGACGCAACCATTGTTGTCTCTTGCAAAAAGAAATGGCAAAAAACATTCATCAGTTTGTTTTGAACAGAAAATACCCACAAGAAAACTAAATTGCGGCTTTCATGCGACCAAACTTGATTCCAGCCATTGTTACAGAAGTGTAAAACCAACTGCGCAGGCTCAGGTCAATAATTTCAAAAGCCATACCCCACCTCTCCGGATCTTTCGCCTGCGGAGACCGGTCCTAGACGTCGTGAATCTAGAACTAACTCCCCCCACCCGTAGACGTCACCCCAATCCCACGGGCTTCGAGATGGCCTGCCACTGGTCTTATTCCGTATATGAGAAATCAAATAATAACAGGTTGCTATCACGTTTACGGTTAATGCGAACCCATATCGTTCATTATGTATGTTTTTTATAACATATTAGTGGATGTATCATGTGTTTGTTTGTTAAACTTCACTTGATTTTATCGGAATTTCTACTAGTTTTTTTGTTGTTCATTTTTGGAAGTTTTATGATGAAAAAACATTTGCGTGATATAGTTGTGAACTGTGTGCGATGAAAGTGAAGTATTTAATTGAAAATTACTTTTATATTTTATTTGTATTGAAGCGTTTAATAAAATAATCACAGTTCAGTTTCATTGTTGTTTTGTTCGACGAGTGAAGTTTTGCAGGGATCTTATTAGTTGATAGCATAGAACAAAAAAGTGTTTATAACCAAATTCGTGCATACGATCCTCTGTACTAGTGATGGTAACCGAGCGAAATTTTGATTCGGTTAGAATCCAACTGAATAATCGACCTTTTAAGATTCCTAAATTCGGTATTGCAACCAAACTTCAAAGTCTTTCGGTCGGAATCCAATCGGATTCTACCGATCGTCCTAACTTCGCCCGGTTACAATCACTACTTGGTACGACTCTTTCGTATCTTAAAGTGATCTATCTCTTTTTTTTGCTATTCTTTATTAATGTCGTAGTTCCTAAACATCCCCACGACGTCCTCCCCTCCAACCGTTTATTTGTCATTCTGATAAATAAGCTAACAACCCCCATGCCATTACGAACGGTTCGAATGAATAATGCAAGCATTCGAGTGACTTCGTGTCGTATGGAGTATGGATTCGTGAATAATCCTTCAAAGTTAAACTATGAGTCATATCCGTTCATTTCATAATAAATCAATTCATTTATACAGTTTACTTCGCCCTTTCTTGACACGTTCATTGTTGTCATACAAGCAAGCCAACCATGTCTATCTTTCAAAAAATACCTCAAACAATTCATTCATCATCCATTTCGAGCATTTATTCAAATCATCAGCAACTGATTGAGCTATGTTTTGTGCATTGATGGACGTTTAATAATTAATTTGATCGTTATTTTTATCATTTGAATTTACCTTTCCAAACGCTTTCGTGTTGTTTTTCATAAACTTTCCGAAAAGAGAAATGCTATGGTGTAAAGATTGAAGAAGTGCTCTGTGCCCGAACACACACACACAAGCGCGAGTTGGGTTGTGCTCACGCACGTTCTTATTCTCACAGATGTTAGCTTGCGTACGCGTTCCACAAACGACATGTGATGATGAGAGATTGCAAAAAAAGCATTGATTGGCTGCATGCCAGCTAGCACGTACATAATTCGGTGCTTTGGTGATGTGTATATGTAAATGTGTTTGAGGACATTGTACTTGTCATATATACAATGATGATGCAATCAATTCATATCTATGCGCATTTTTTAGCACTTCTTTGATTTTGGGTTAGAATCTTATCTTTATTATAGATTGGTATTATTGATAAGTCGTTGTATGCTCTCACTTTCGAATCGTTTGCTGGACGCATCCAGAAAAATGCCAGGATCGTAATAAATATTCCTTAAAGGAGGGGTGAAAACGAAGAAAGGGAAAGGTTCAGCAACGGTAGGTGCACGTCTTGTGCGGAGCACCGACAGATTTGCAGAAGATAATATTTACGATCAAATGGGCGATTATGAAGTATTCCCAATCGCTGAAGACCTATCTTCGTTCGTATTTCCCTCTAAAAGGTCACTTTTTCTGTCACTATTTCCTCTCAGAACGGAATCGTGAAATTCTTTTTCGTTAAGGTGTTTATGGAAAGAGCACTGCTACAAGCTTCATTATGAACTCATAATAAGTCTTACGCTTCAGTGTAAATCCATGATGAATCACATCATTTATTCCATAGAAAAATTCTCAACTAAGCCCCGAAAGCAAAGGGTAGCCCTAGACCAAGGTTTGTGTTTAGCCCGGCCCCCTTTTTATAGTCACGTTAACTACAAGATGTTTCTGGTTTATTCAAATGAACTGACTGCATGAAATAATTGAAGAAAATAATGTGCACATTGCAGAGCTGGTCGGCGTGTGGAACGTACAGTTTATATGCCACTAGCAAAACGTATTCAGTTAAGTAGCGGGAATACATCAAAAGAAGACCATAGTGATGAGCCAGAAGCATATTCGAATCCTGCTCACGAACAAATGTTAGCTCATTTGATGCGCAAATCGAGGGAAGTCGACTCTGATTCAGCACACACATCCCATCAACCCAGTGCAACCACTGTTCTCGGTTTGTATTCTGCGTTCGGTCATAAATCGAGTGTTAATCAACGACACTGATTTAGATGCAATTGAAGGTGAGCTGGTTTTCGTCGTGGAACAGCCCTTGTCAGGGCTACCGCTTGTTCAATCACTCTTTGCTGAGAAGCATTCGGCACCACTACGAAGTATAAACCAACAAGCGCTATTTGCATCTCCTCTCTCACGTCACTATCCGTTATCTGATACTTGCTCAAATATTACAATTAATAATGTGCCTTCTGAATTCCCCACTCAAGGTTCGAGAAAATATTTGATTTTATTTATGCTGTTGTCTTATTTATGCTCTTAAATGAGTCGTTTGTAAGTACATTTTTGTTGCAAATTGATATGATAAGCATAGTGATTCAGTTGATGATGAGAGAGTGATGGAACAAGGATCAATAGGTAAAAGTAACTACACCGATGAAAAGGGAACGTTCTCGGATGAATATGATGATGCTGAATTCACTGCCACCGTTCTCAACAATCTGCCCACTTCCTACGATGAATTCGAGTCGAAGGTTATTCTTTCTCAATTGCAGTTTACTTAATGCCATCTCGTGAGTACCTTACAGAACAAATCCCTTTCAGGAGTTGCACTTAAAATTGGAACGGAACATATCGAGTCCATTAATGACGTGTCAGAGTCCAGCAACCGATTGCGGTCGGTTATCATCTGATTCGAACTCGACCATCGCATCGCCAATGCATCCAATATTGGACAGTTCCAACATGCAACCCGATGCTGAGGATCTTGAAGTTAGTTTCTTCATTGATGCTTACTGTCAGCTCTTGAACTAATTATCAGCCAGCATGATATTTGGTTCGTATCGGTTATTCGTTTCAGATAAGAGCTGAATATGCTACTTTTGCGTTTTCGTTTACAAATGTTTTTATCGATGATGTAACGTTGAAAGATTGAAATGAGCTGATCAGATACTTTTCATTTGGATATTTTTTAAAGAATGGTGACAGATTACTCAACAATGTTCTAATGATTGCAATTAAGGTTGCAATGATTAATGAGTCATTCGAAGAACAGCAAAAGCAAACGAAGTTATATGAAAATCCTAATTTAAAAAATCTCTTCTATTCACGTCCGAATATGACTGAAGACGCGGATCGTGCAGTATGCGGATCGCACGATCGCTTACCATATGTAGTTAACATAAGTGGCCAAGAGAGGAAGCGAGATAAAGGTATTACGGGTACTGTTGATGCTTCGAAACGATATATTCCACCAACTGATCATCATTTCACACCGGGTTCGTATATTTTTTGTCGTATGTCTGAGGGAGATGATTCAGCCCATATTCATTACGCACTATTTGAACTCATGTCATCTCTAGTGCTTACCCCGAATTCGAGTGAGATGATCTCTGCTATCAGAAGGCTTTCAACGTCTAAAAATCATCAGCAAACAGTTACTGAACGACGTCCGTTTGATCCGCTGTTCAGGAATGCTGAAACTAATGATAATGGTATATTGATAAAATGTTTGTTTATTCATTGACAACAAACACTTTTCAAAGTCATTCTTCACTTGTAAATTAGCCTTGAGTTATTCGCAGATAACAAATTGGGTTAAAGAAGAGCAGTTTTTGCTATTTCTTGGTTGATTTGTACGCAACCATTTCAGAATTTGAACAACCATTCGCAAATTCGTTGAACAACAGTGATAATGGTAGATTTGATGTGGAAGAATTGATTCTTGATCAGTCAAATCTTGGACGAGGTTCGTTACTCTTTTTGCACTTGAGCGCTCATTCGGTGACAATCACTCTAAAGTTGTTGTTTAGTGGCACGCGGTTCAGCCTTCAACAGTTTCAACTCACTTCATCATTGTTCGAACGATAGAGCTGCACTGAAGGAATCACGAAGAGATTTTATGAAGATCAACCCAAAGAGTGCTGCCATTCCGATCAAACAAACTGTCAAGGTTGTCCATTAACCTTATCATCTTTCCGATTGACTCATATTTTCGTTTATAGGTGCTGAATGCAAGTTCTATCGACGACAAAATGGATGCAACCGAAGCACTTGCGATGAATGTTGTTGAAAGTCTTTTTAGTGGGAGTGCTTCGTTGGGACAACGTTCACCGTGTATTACTCGTCAGGTTCGTATCTTGTATTGTTTTCATCTTGAATATGTATCTCGTTAACATCATTTATGCCTATTTTACTTCATATTGGTTGATTACATCCAGCGCAACCGGTGTTCTGTTGAAAAGAAATTCTATGACGGAATATATCACTTCTCAAAAATTATCTGCTTAATTTGATTTTCAAACAATCATGGATCAGTTTTCTGAATTTCCAGTTGTTATTTTCTCGCGGATCTAAATCATCCGTCTCAAACGTTTCCGCATTATCTTAACGAATTGCTCTTGTTTGAATTATTCGGCTTGAAAAAAGTTGAACAAAATGATTTTTTTCTTGACTTTGCTGTTTTGTTTTGTTCATCATTGTGGTGCTAATACATAGTGGCATTCGTTTTCCATTCATTAGCAAATTAAGATAGGAAAAGTTGAGTTTGAAGTTATCAACTCAGTTTCTGCCGAAATTTGCAGTTGTATGATATGAAGTGGGTGTCGTCTTTTGTGCGTTTGCATTGAACAGTAATCTCGCAACGAATCGCATTTGCCTAACAGTATTCTGTTGTACTTTGCGCTCAACCACTAAGCGCCACTCGCATCTTTCGATGTCTGTCTCTCCATTATAGTTATACATGTGTGCGTGCGCAATTTGTGAAATGCACCCGCTGGGCTTTACTTGCATTCGTTCGAATTCGAAATGCACTCCTGTCCGGGCGGCACTTGCCTTAGTTTCAACTTCGTGCACATGTGAGCTTGATTCGTGTGGATGGAGTGAAAACTGGGAAGGATGCATGTTGAGGGTGCATAAAAGAGAGATGTGTGGACAAACGCAATAGCAAGTCTTTGCTGGCCGAACCTTTTCACCGTGTAATGTTGAAACCTGTTTTAGTTTGGATTCATTATTGGCGTGATTGATGCTGCAGTTAGTATTGTAAATCATTTTATTCTAGTTGTCGGTGGTAAGTGTCGTGGGTCTGAAGCAGATTTGAGCTTAATTAGAAACACTTCTATGATCTAAAATTGGAGTTTGCCTACGTTTCGTTCCATTAAAATTTCTTTTTTTCAGGACATTTCTAAGATGGGTGATAGCGAGAAGTGCGCACAAGAAGAAGAAGAAGTTTGCGCCCCTTCAGTGCAGTCCGTTCATGACGCATATTGTTCGTCTTTAGCAGGTAGTAGTAGTGCTGAGAATAAAGATGGTAAACAGAGCACAGCACCAATTGACTCGTGGGAGGATCTTGATTCGGAGGACTTCGATTTCAAAGTTGGGGGAGTGAGTTTTTTAAAGTTGACTTTTTTTCGTGATTCATTCATGCCGAATAAATCACTGAATTTCGAAGAGCGTTTGTGTTTTCCGTTATTTGTTTTCGGTTTGAAAGTGCATTGAATGGATCATAAAAACTTGTGGAGTTTAAGATCAAGTCAGCCATGGAAAAAGTAAAACTGGGAAAGCCAAAAGTCGATTTTTTTGCTGCTGCTACACCTACAGCAATGCCTTGGAATGATAAAGAGATGCGCAATGTGCTCGAAATTTATTCCCTTCCATCTCGTATATCACTCGACGATGTGAAAAATGAATTGGCCAAAATCGATTGCGCTGATGTAACTTTTAAAAAAGTTACGGATTCTAGTTACTTGATCAACTTCTCATCCATAAATGCAGGTCGGTTCATTATCGGATATTATTTCCGGTGACATGATCACGCTACAAAATAACGCTTGGTTATCTATTCAGCGTTAAAAGCATTAATGGAATCACGTCAAGGGCACATGAGTGGCTGGTTACATTTACACGAACTGGCTGATGCATCGCTGGAGAGTCAAACTCAGGCACGCAAATATGCAGATTTATTAGCACCACATAAACCACGTCCTAAAACGACTGCATTGGTAGCACGACGACTGGTCGAAGGGGCGCTCGGTGTGCGTACAAATGTTTCGAAGCAGCAACGCAACGCTGAACGACAAGTGCTGAACGATGCAAAGCGTTAGTTTTACCTAATGTGTTCACTTAGCTTCGCATTTGCTCGCAAGCTGTTTAGTCCAGAAGTGGTGCGAACTGCACTACGAATTATTCAGTAATCCCGGTAGGACGTGCCGTCTTCGTTCTGGAGTGTGAAATATGCAAACGACAATGAAATATCCACATAATGTTCTGTGGTAGACAAACTTGCCGAACTGATTGCGATAGGGAATTGCTGTTCGCGGCTAGCTTCAGCCTTATGTAAAGGTCAACCGCATTAGCATCAGCTTCGCCCTAAGCATCAGTCTCAGTGCGGGTGTCAGCGTCAGCTTTGGTTACAGTTAAGGTGCAATCTCTAAACGAGTCTCGAGCTTAATGTGATTTTATTCTTCAAAAAAAAAACTCGGAGAAAGCGGTGTTGAAATGAGTCCAGCCAACCATCATCGAATGTTCAGCACCGCGACAAAACTATCGGCAATATAATTCAGAGCGCTGCACACTGACTACTTCGCCATCCGACCGTACCAATTAACTGCTCCGTAAACACATGCATAGGCGTATCATTAAAACTGAACTACGTAATTTAAAACGTGCTGAACGCATTGTATTTCTTCTGGATATTGTTTCACAAGTGCTCAGCATAGTCCATTAATCGATGTTGTTTCAGAACAGAAAAAGGCAACTGCTGCATTATGGGAAGACAACCCGTGACTGAATTACTATTCTCGTGTGCTTATCTCGTCTCTTTGTATTTATTTGTAACGGCCATTCGCTCAAAATGCCACAACAAATTCACCGAAAATTATTCGCTACACTGTAGCAGTTTACCATCGTTCCTTTCGATTGTTGTTGTATTGTGCCGTCCTTTTTTTCGTGTTTTTGTCAGATTTCCACTGATGTTTTTAATCATTTCTCTTCTTTTGTCGTACATATTTGTATATATTTATATTCTTTTCGATTGATATATTTTATGTAAAAGTCGAGTAAGTGTGAGAGTGGAAATGTTCCATTGCGCTATATCAAATGACAACGATAAGCATTAAATGAGATGTTTGCTTCCGCATTCTCATGAATTTTTAAGTGCAGGTGATAATTTGCAATGGGGATTCTTGATTGGCATCCGGGTTTATTTTATTTGATGTTTTTGTTGTTGGGATAGGTGATGCGACGCGTAATGTGTATGGCGATGAGCTGTGGTTGTGAATCATTGATGTGGGAAGAGTTGTTTGCGATGCAAGTGCATGGGTAGGCCAATGTTGAGTGGGTATGCGTGTTGTCTTTGTGGTATGTTTGCTTGCTCGACAACGGTCTGCGGCATATCGTTTTAGTTGTGCTGGTCGGGTCGGATCAAACTTGGGAGGTCGTGTCTACAGAAGGCCACACTATTAATTCATCGTTTGCCAGTTCCGTCTTGAGGAAAGGTGATCTTGAGGCGCAGTACACTTCCAGAGGTGTTATCGAGTGCTGAACTGCTCTCTCGCTCGTCACATTTGCAGTTTGTCGCGTTTAGTCTGGCCATACTCACCAAGCGGTCATCTTCCTTTCTAACCACTTCGGTGTTTTATATGTCAACTTGGCATTTGTACTGCATGGCACATCCATCCAATACGCACAAACAATGCTTTTTTTTGTGATGCCTTCGCAAGAAGCGATACAAAATGTTCTTGTCGTACCGCCGGCACTACAGCTTCCCAAAGATCTAAAGGTTACTTTCGACGATCCATTGAGCTCAGATTTCGTGATGTTTTTGAGCATCCAAAAAATGTCCATTGCTTCGGCGGAAGAATATTGTGATCTCGGGAAATTATGAATGAAGAGGGATCAGTGTGTGCTGAACGCTGTGTGAAAGTACGGCCGTGATAATTTTGTTGTACGCTGAACTGTGTTGACGATTTTGACAGCATCAACTCATTTTGCATCGCATCATTCTTTTCAAAGTTTATTTGAATGGAAGTTGTAAAGTTAAGTTCTTGTTCAGCACGTACCAATGAAACGGAGGATAAGTGAATATTTAATTTTTGATTGTGAGCACCCTTTCAAGAACTCACTCTTATTCGGCCATTTCATGTAATGTTTTTGGTAATTTTCAGCACTTTTAAACGAATATTTTGTTGTTATTGTTGTTGTTGTTATTTACGTGGTGTTTCGTTTGGTCATAGTTAGGGTGATGCGCAGATCTGATGAACAAAATGCAGATTATACCAGCTTCTGTGCACTACACATCCATGACCGCATAGCTGATACCATTTACCTGCCTACTTACCTACCCATTCAGTGTTGACTAAGCTGCTTGCTTTGACAATTAATTGCATGACAGGTACTAACTCATATTCGCAAGCAGTTGATCAGTCGATTTGTGTCATAATTTTATCGTGGAACTGTTTCCACAGCCACTCATCAAGTTCATCTGTATTTCAAGTTGTAATCACTCTCTTGAAATGTATTTTATCATTAATGACGGTAGCGTCTTCATTAAACGTTCTCCTGTCTCGGAACGAGTTTATGAAAATGCAATTGAATTTCATAGTAACTAAGCTGAGCAGTGAATGACTGCAAAGTTGTAAATTGTATTTTTGTTATCATGAGGGTTTTTGTGATCATTCGTATTCGTTGCTTTTATATTTGTGCTGTTTCGAATGTTTGTACAAGAGGAACTCATCTCTTTGTGTAGAATGTCTTAAAGTTGAAAATTACTTTTGACAGCTGGCAATAAACGGGAACGAGATTATTGTTGAGGTATGACAGTTCTGTCGTGTTTAAAGACAAGCTCAGTTGTTTATATTAAAGTTGAAGGAGATTGATAAAGATAAAGACTATAATGCAAGTGATGCTTTATATTGTGCTGAATCATGCTCGTATCACCGCTTTCATTCGTAATCATCTTTTGTCAGTGCTACTCTATTTATTTTCCATTTTGGTACTCTGCAATAAACGATCCACGATCGGCAGTTCTTTTTTACCGCTGAAATTCTTCGTTGATCGCTTCATTCAAAAGACTGATAAATAGAGAATTTATTTGCACTACTCAGCTTTGCAAACAATATGTGTAAGAATTCATCTGAGCCGTTAGCAATACAATGGCTAGGAATGGATGATGAACTGAAGGGTTGGTTGCTTGGTGGGTGAACCATACTAGTGTTCGTCGAGGAACAGCTTTGTGGCCGGTGAAGCATTGTTGGCGAGCAAGATGATCGGAAGGGGACCCGGTAAAAAATCAGAGGTAACTGACCAAGAGAAGGTCTCACAATTTTTACTGGTTCTGAGGAGGAGTGCAGCATTAAAGTCGGAGAGGAGGGCGTTAAGGAATCCCCGTCCGGGAGGACAAGGAGCAATTCAACGTAATTCTGAACAGAACTTCTCCTCGCGATGTGCACTTCTGAAAGAAAAAAGAAAACGCGAATCAATGACAACGCATTCCTGATTGCGGTTTTCTGTAAGAATGGGAATTATGGAGATAGATGCTCGAACATGCCGAACGAAATTGGGCTGGTCGGACCGAACACTCAGTTCGGGGAATTTTTAGTTCACTTTTGCAAATACACCTTCGTTTTAGATCTTCAACTGTGTCTGCAAACATAAGATTCATTCGTCGCAGATCCTCAACTGTGCTTCAGTTAGCGCGCAATGATCACTAACCTATACTGGACAATTTGCACGAATATTCGAGGGCCAGGTACGAAAAAAGCTCGCTCCTGTGTTGATGAGTTTGAAGCAATCTGTTGCCCAACTCTTTGAAAATTGTTACAGATCCACTTCTTCAATACAAAATTTCATCTCGGTGAATATAAATTGCCTTCACGAGAACTTTTCTGCACTAGTCCACCGTTTGCACAGTACGCTTAATTGCATTTCTGAATGAATTCAGTGAATTTCGTTTCGCATGAAAATTTGCGATTTTTAATGCGTTCCCCTCAGAGGAGAACATATAATGCATTTACGAAATGCGGAACGTGGGAATGACATGTAGGAGATACATAAAAAGAAGAAAACAGAATAGAATAGTTTACACAGCAGAATAGAAAGGTTTTCGAGAAAGGACGGAACAGAATAGAATAGAACAGAGCAGCAGAAGAGCGGAACAGAGCAGGAAAGAAATTTTGTCAAAACTGTGGATTAGAAACATCACTACTGCTGATCACCGAAACACCATCACCCGCAGTTTGCGTTTATGAAGTGACCACTGTATTAAGTAAATCAACATCGCATTCTCGTCGACAAACACAAAATACACTGAATTACGAGTCGACTTCATCATATCATCGTCCTCTGTGATTATTTCTCAGATTGCACTTCTCTTTATTACCTGGATTTGCCAGGCTATCAAACGTTCATAACGTTGCTGGCCACAATGCTCACGTTTCCTTTCGCAGTGTTTAAGCCTTGATTTATGCCACCTCGCTGACTAGGCGGGTAGGCCAACCAAACAAACACAAGCGAGTAAGTAAGTAATTACTTTGCATAATTAAACGTTGCAAATATCAATTCAATAAATGATCATAACTCTAATAAAATAAGTATTCCGCCGATCGCTTACCGCTATTGACAAAACAACTGCTCGATGTTCAAGTAACAAGTAAAACCACTCCTCTTTATTATTCACCCTAAAATGTTTATTCCACTGTGGTTTTCAGCTGTTTCAAACATTTCATCTTCCACGCTTCATTCGTAAATCTGTTGAAATTTGGCTTACAATTAGTCCTTGAAGTGGATGTTAAGTTGAGTTGTACCCGAAAAGTGTTCACTGATTACTGTATGAAATAGACACAATGTATGAAATTGGTTGAAAGAAAGCAGACCTAAGCGTCGCACCTCGAACGGGTCTGAGAGGCCCTGCATCAACTTTCAATCGTTCATAACTTCGTCAGTATTGTAGCCACAGACCTGAGATTTCATGACGTTGCTCCTTTCCCGAGTCGCAACTCGAAACAAGATAAAATTCTTCTTTCCGCATCACTTAGAGCGCTTTACAACATCGCTTTACAGACGAACTGGTCTCCACAGGCCATGCTTCCGATCTATCATTATTAAAACGTTTTCAAGCCTGTGAAGCAATAATAATTGTGGCTCTTCAGAAATTCTAACTTGTCACAACGTTTTAAAAGATACTTCAGAACACTGAACCGTAGCAGCATGTGCAAACTAGATAACTTTTGCAGCATGTGCAAACTAGATAACTTCTGCAGCATGTGCAAACTGCAGCATGAACAGTGAAACATAGTTTCATTACCATCCTTCACGCACAACTACAGAGTGCGTTCGAAACAAGAAAACAACAATGAAAATCGAAAAGCAAAAAATTGTACGGATGATAAAAATAGTAAACAACACTGTTCCTGGTGAAAATTTTACGTTCCAAGTTAGCACTGCAATGCAAACTTTGAAAAATGATTTCAGTTTCTCAACTCATTCATTCTTGACTGGATAACAGGGATTGAACAAAGACAGAACAATACAAAATGCGATAAAAAACGATAAATCTTAAATATGATCAGGAAATTTGTAACGAATTTAGCAACGAACATTTCAAACAACACATCGTTTGAATGTTTTGAATTATAATGTGCATTTTTGAAATGTGTTGATGCTGTGCTCATTACAAATACTTTTCTGACAGTGAAAAGTTTCATCTTCTGTCTCTTATCATTGCTTGATGAACATATGGAACATCTTCTCCATTTTCTACAAGCAGATGAGGTGACCAATGAAGCGTTGACCAGTTAACTATTACTGCATTTATTTATATCAAAATGAGATGCATTTTCTGTGGAAACGAATCAGTACATGAAATGATTAATTCGTAAGCGATCTTTTAAATACAGTTTGTTGAAAATGTGGTGATCGTGTACAGTTGTGAGAGCGTTTGACTTATACAGCAGTGAGAATGTGAGTTGCAATGAACTTCTTCGTTTTATCAGCATTCCTTTAGTGTTTTATCATCTTCTTTATTCGTCCATTTTGAAACTTCTTGAAGAATATTTTGCCGCGACAATAACAAAAAACCCAATTAAACGCTGTCAATATTGTGAGGTGGTAAACAAACGTGTCTGGCCACTATTTTCTTTGATCACATTGTGTGCCCTCTCCAAACACACGAATTGCACGCACTACGTTTTTGCATTATTTTTCAATTTCTAAGAGTACGAATTGATATTATAACATTTGCATCAGGCACATGTTGAATCATATTTTCAACTGGCTCCTATGTTCTTCCAGATTAGATAGAATTTTCGAGGAGCATGGAATTTTGATGAACACCCATCCAACTTTAATGCGCTCATTGCAGTAAGTGGTAATGGTAATTGAAGACCACCCAAACAGGATGGTAACATCATTTGACAGATGTGAAGAATGCGCCCCGAGCACATTTGTTAACACGTCAGATAAATTTTATTCAAATTTAATTTTCAATCACAAACATAACTATCGTTACAAGTGAGCTTCATTCGCAAGTAGGCATGAAGCAGTCCGATTGGCTTTTATGTTTAGTGGTCAGTTTTTGTTTCATTCAAAGGATAACTGCTGAGTGGGTAAGTAATCTGATATTTTCTTGGAGTTGTGTTTAATAGGAAAAATGGTTTCATTAATTATACCTAACCGTCGATCATATCAGTGAACAGTCATATCGGTGATTATGATCAAGCAATAAGTAGTGATTGTTCGAAGCAACACTAAGTAATGATTGTTTATTAACAGCATGAAATAGTGGACAATACGAGCAACTACGATAGGCATCCATATCGAGGAACGGTTATATTCGTTAAAGCAATTCTAACATCAGACTGTAAAGGGTATCGCTTCATCTTTTCTAACAATTAATCTTACTTACAGTCTTAATCGCCGACCGTAGTGGCATGGAAATGTTATCGCCAAAAGCTCTAGCTTCCTCTGACACAGTTTGATTTTTGGTCGAAACCTGATCATAGCTTAGTCGGAGTTTACAGAACCCTGTGTGGATAACAATTAACGACTCGCCTAGGCTCAGCTCAAACTCTGTGTGATGCATAAAGTGAAGTGAATTAATCTCTATAAGAATTTATCTCTTTGAAAGGCAGTTGTAGTTGTGGATGGGTCCTTACCTTTCTTGCCTTGCTATGATTTTCTTGCTTAAAAATAATCGCATGTTTTCTACAACAAACATCTGCAGGTTTGCATTCTTCACTGTTTCTGAAAAGGAACATTTTCATTCGACTCCTATGATCAATTACACCACAATAAATGGGTATGTTCACTATTTGGAATAGTTCAAGGTCTATTTTAAATCGATGTGAATTGAACTGTGAATTGCAGATATAGTGAACTGATACTGAGTTATGACTATAGTTCTGCCGGTTTCGCTTCATCAGGAGTGCAGTTAGTTTCCCTCTTTGAATTGTATATTACTGTAAAGTAAAGGTGTATACGAATGAGTGCGATGTTAAATTTTAGTAAACGAGCAGATTCAATCAGAATGAAGATAGCACGCCTTTCGAACAGATTCTCATTTACACTTTCATTCACAAAGTCGAAAGTGTTTCTTATTTTCAATGGCCGGTAGGTGTGTTTGTTTCGGTAATTTTTGCAGCACTTGTGAACCTTGCTAGCCACCGTGATTTGTAATTTTTGCATGGATTCCCGACTTTTGAATCTCGATCCCAGAATTCACGTTCTGAAAAATCCCATTATTTTGGGATTTTAAAGAACAGGTCATTTTATATAATTTTACTATTGTACTCATCTTGAATTAAATATCACTTCATTCATGTTTAGTAATATTGGTCGCTTGCTACTCAAGTAGCAACAAATGGATAAATCATTACTTACACAGTAGCTCCACCTCGGTCTTCGTTTTTCAGAAAGCAATAAACAGAAATTTCATAATTTCATCACTCTTGCTTCATCACCATTGCTTTGCCTTTCGTTTATGATTATTTTCAATGCCAAGATTAGCCGATATTGAAAAATGATCGAGATCTTGCAAACTCTAATTGCTTGTTCGCACGATAAGTTTTTCACACTCACCTAAAAAATGTTTGTTTGATGATGCGACAGTTTCAGACTTTTGTTTATCGATACTTCTCAGGTGATGCTCTTAGACGATTACGATTATGTTAGTTATTTGGAACCGAGTAAGGCATTAGCGTTTGTGAACGACTGTCCCGTCTCTGAACAGAGGTTCACTCTTGCTTTGTCCATCATTTGATTCATATTCGCATTGATCTTTCGAAATAAACACAAGTCTACTAGAGAAAGTGAATGCAGAGTGATAATCCGAAAAACGTGCTACGTAAGAACGTTCAATTACGCTAGTGCACATTGGGTCACCAATCAACGAGCACTGGGGCCTGTCTCAGCTGGTAATACTGTCACTTGCACTATCAAGCACTTTGCATCGCCAAGTGGCTCGTTAGTAGTCATTTATTCCTTCCTTACAAGGCAAGGTCACGAACTGAACCCAGCGTTTCGGGATGTGATATACATCAAATTGTAGAACTCCTCGAGCTGATTACGAATATTTTCCCAGCCATATCTCGCGTCCCCTTAGTGTTTCGCAAAATTTTTAAACATATTTTTCAGTTCGTGACCTTCCCTTGTTAATATATATTCGCTCTAGAATATGAGTGATTCCATCTATAATCAGATCAATTTCTTTCTCTCATATTTTCCTTGCAAGATCTGAATGTTTTCCAGCTTTGAACTGGGTATGTATGCTGAAAGAAATTACACACGAGCAGGACTAGAACAACGCGCGTTTGGTGGCTTAACGCTGAATTATAATTTTGGAGGTGATCTGAATGCAATTTACTTGACAAAGTTGGGTAGATACAGTGACGAGAACTGTAAGCGTTTGCATTTGCACGTCGTTTTTTAACGATGCAAACGACTGACACAAGGATACAGCAGAGGTGATGTTTTGATGTGGATTTTAGATGAAATGATTCGCGATTTTGGTTATGATGCACAAATAGACATGGATGGTAATGATTATTGTGTATCCATTGAATTTGATACAACTCTTTTTTACATTGTCTCTGGCTCGAAACATGTGGTAAATATTTCATTGATAAGCGCTTTGCTTCACTAATGCAAAAATACTTTCATCATCGTTCCAACTCACAAAAATATGCCGTGTGGCCTTAAAACAGTCTGTGTAAAATTTCGCTACAAAAAATCAGCTTGAAAAGTCATTTGGTTCGATTTTTCTCATCTTAGGTGATGCCGTAGTGGACGAGTTTCAATTTTGGAACTTCTTTCGGTCTGAATCCTCAAAATCGAATTTTTTTGATCGGAAATAGCGTGTGTGAAAAATTCCGTTGAAAAGGTGCGCCATCTACACTTACGCGTCGTAGACAAAAAAAAACACCTTAACCCAGCGACCAACAATTGTTTAGATCAGTGTTTTTGAAGCGAACTTTCACATAGGTTTGTTTTACGCCAAGTGACATCTTTCTGAGGTATGAAATTTTGGTTATTCGAAAATCTGAAAATCTGGAACAATGGCACCTCATACGAAAAACAAGTCTTTCAAATTAATTTTTTGAAACGATATTTCGCACTCGTTATTCGTAGATCAGAAGGCATATTCCTCTGAATTGGAACCGCATGAATTTCGAAATTTGTCACGGTAATACCACTCGTCATCTAAACGATTAATTCGAATATCTAACACCTCTATAAGAATTTCAGTCAACAACATCTCAGCGCGATGAATCAGTAATATCAAAGGACGACTTCTGCTTCAGCGCATTACGTGTTGGTCACGGTCGCAGTATGTGTGCGATTGGTTATCACGTTCTATAGCCAGCTTACTATTACCTGACGAACGTTTATTCAGGACTATATCAAGAGGGAATTACGAACAGAACATGGAGCCGTTGTGCGTTACATGGACCAAGTAAATATCGAACGATCCTTGACAGGAGTCAACGACTCACTCTCACGTATAGCTTTTATGGTTGGTTGCGGCTATTGTCTTGTCTTACCTCCTATTTAACCTTCTTACTTCAGAGGATATGGAATTGATGAGACGATACGATCGTTCGTCACTGGTGTCTTTAAACGGCGATCAACTCTCAGCAGATTAGCACTGAACACCACATACAATGCTGCTGTGTCGTTAGGTGTGGATATATTTGTGTTGTAAACGGGATTCTTTATTAATTCAATAATAACAACAACATCTGTGAATGCAAAGATCATTATTCCCTTAAAGAGTAAAAAATTAAACACAAAACATCTCAGCAATCGATGTGAAAAGCAATGCTCATTGCTCATCAATCAACTACTACAAATAACGTAATACATAACAACAATCAAGTGAGAAATTTATCACTTATTAACGTATATATAATAAAAGAAATTAAACGGCACAGATATGTTTGCAGGCAATATTATTGCATCGTCTTATTTGGAAGTTTATTGTGCTTCTCTAATCAATGTATACTATAAAATTGATAGCATAAAATTTTGAGATATGTTTACATGATAGCTTTGTGAAAAAAATATCTATTTAAATGACATTCTGAGGATATTAAATGACATTCTGCATAAGCTTCATTCAAAGTGCACAACCAAACAAAAAATGCATTAAAAATGAGCAAAAAGTGTGCTTCAATGAGCAGATTCAACAATGAGTTGACGAAGAAGAACTGAATGGCAAAAGTTGAATAAATATACGACAATACATTAGAAGATTGATTGTTTCGTTCAGAAGTACACATCAAAATGTGAAGCATTATTGCTGGTTGTTCGATCGCTTTTCACTGACAATCTTTCTGTTGCTTCAACCGAATACATCTGTAAGGATTAAGGATGAAACGCTCATTAGTGATTAACAGTATTCTAGCGCAGAGGATGGAATTTGCTACTGGTGAACAACAAGAACATACCGTCTTCTTCAGAGCCGAGGTCAATAATCACTTCTTGGACACGCACCGGACTGGTCGCTTTTCGCTTTCTTGTTGCTTTCTTGAGTGGTGTTAATGCCACTGGCTCGGTTGCAGTATAACGAGTCTCGTTGAGTGGAACCATCGTATAAGGACTTAAACGGATATACATTTCATTCGTAATTAATGACCACTTGAAGTTTACACTTCTGAATTATCGTTAGCACCGCACTATCGATTCAATACCAAAAAGTACACTGATTGAATGACCTCTTTTACCTCACGTAACGTTTTTCTTCAGTAGCCGGACCTTTCTTGCATAATGACAACAACATAATTTCACCATCGCTCAGCGGCTTAACGAATTTACTTTCTTCACCATTTTTATTCTTCTTTTCATTATTCAAACAAGTGGTACGCCAGCGTCTCTGAAACATCAATGAGAGTTTCAAAGGGAACGTTCAGTAAAATTGAATGAAAAAAAAAAGTCAAACTCAAGTGAAAAGAGCGTAATCACTCACAAGTACATTTCTAAAGATAGTATATGAAATGGGACGAGGATCTTTTAACGCTGGAATGTAGGAGTTGCCCTGCGGTAGGCTTTCAACAATTCCATCTAGAATTTTGCGTCGCTGTGGTCCAAATGCCTTCTGAAGTTCCGGCCAATGCTTCTTCAGTTCAGTTGCAATCTCCAATAAGTCACGCTCTCGTTTCTCCTCCAATTCCTTACCATCATCTACCATCTCCTTCATAAGAAGATCCACTTCATTGGTCAGCTCTATATTAAACTCTGATTTCTTTGTTTTCTCCTTAAAAACAGTAAAGTTTAAAATTACATCCATGCAAGGCAATATTTACAAATCCTCCTTGAAATTTTGCAATTAATTCAGCCAAAAATACAACTGTATTAGTTCAGCCAGGAAAAAATACAAGTGGAGCTTAAAACTTTACTTAAAACAATTCTAATAAACAATGAATCAAAGGATAAGTAATGAGTGCAGTTGAACATGCCGATGAGTAAAATATGGACAAGAAACCTGAAAGAGTTTCACAAGCTGCCTCCAACGTTCACGACACGTATCCAACGGTGACCATTTCCAGCCATTCTTCAAATAAAGTTTCTCAATACGTTCCCACGCTTCAGCTGCAGCATTATTTTTCGAGTTAAATTTAGCCATCCGAATACTCTCCCATTCATTGTAGACCAACTTCACAAAGTGGACTGTTTCTGCATCAGCCTCTGGAAATTTGTTTGATTAGATCAGAGTTAGTTGGGTACTAAAGCATCACTAACCAAGTACACCCTCTGTGCGAGGATATTCCCTCAACGGTTTCTCTGAGACGGTGGTGCACTTCTCATCATTTGATATCGAATTCGCATTGCTTGGTCCTGCGACCAACTGACTCAGGTCAATCTCATCGTCAGCATTCTTTGACGCAGCACATATTCGAGCCAGTAAACTGGCAACTACTGAGCCACTGTTTGAAGATGTTTCTTCGGCTGCACAACAGCCGTTCTTATTTTCATTCGAGCATTTGTTCAGTAACTTCGCAACTTTCATTCGTTTATCGCTGTCATTTTTCTTTCCTTTTTGCAATGATTCTGAACTGCTTGCTGCCACTACTTTATCTTTCCTTAACTCATTTTCCACGAACTCCGAAACATCGTATCCTTGTAGAGCAAGTGCCATCAACTCGGACTTTTGCAAAGGCTTCGAAAACAGTGGACCTGTTTCTCGAATCTTTTCCAAATGCATCTGCAACTCAGTTTATATCAAGATTTACCATCAGCGTGACTGATTGCAAATGCATCTGCGATAGAAATTTTAAAAAAGTAAAAAATAAATAGAGCAATATTATTACATCTCAAAGAACAGATGGAACAATATGGCTCTACTTCTTAGTCTGCCCCACTCTATCATACGATGCAGCTGATTAGTCGAGCACGGAAGAGAATTAAGAGAAATGCGAAACGAACTCTGGATGTGAAGAAACATCTTCGAATGTTTGCGATGAAAGCATTTATATCACCACAGTTTGCAACACTGAACATATTCGAAGATGGTACAGAACGCGCGATCGCTTCGAAGACTGACAGCTTGAGACGTTCCACGTCCAGTCCTTCACAAATACTCCGAATATGATTCATCAACTCGATCAAGTTACGTTCACGTCGATCACCATAATTCAACACGTCGTCCATCATCTCCTCCATCAATCGATCCAGTTCACTCTCCGGAAAACGTTTTCCAGCCATTTCGAAGCGTCTTTTCTTTTGCTAGAATACACAGTTTATTTCTTTCTCCTACCACAACGCACACACCAAAATACCTTGTATCGTTTCGTTAAACCACGCCAACGCTCACTGCATGTGCAATACGACTTCCACGGCCATCCGTACAATTTGTACTTCTCTTCGATCCTCTCCCAAGCTTGAGCAGCAACCGGGCTGTATTTATCGGAGATATATTCTCGAATCGATGACCACTCGTCCTTGACATTCTTCACAAAAAATATCGTATCTTCCAATGATTTACGACTCGTTGTTGATACGGCAACTGAAATACTGCGTGAAGCACATTCGAGCATCTCTTCATTTCGAATTCACTCATTTTACCTTCATCATCAAGCGACACAACCGGCGATGAGCACGTCTCTAGAGCACTATCACACTTGACGAAGCCGTTACATGTGGGGCTATCACGAGATGTTCCTCCACTCATAGTTGTTTCATCGAATATTTCTAATGACGCAAATATCTGATCGGCCTCTGACGCAGCACCATTCAGCACTATTCCACATTTGTCATCGTCTTTTGCTTTCTCCACATTTCTCTTCAACTAATTCCATTGACAATTCATCCAGTTTATCCATTGAACAAATTTAGTTCTATTCTCCAAATACCAAAACTGATCCTTCAAACTTTCAAGTGTCAAATCAAACCTTAGCTTTCGCGATAAGACTATCAACGAATTTTTTTCGTCGATTCGGTTTACACATAATCGCTTTGAAAGGACTGTTATCGGGTAACTCAGCGATGATATCGTCGTAAACTTGTTTCCTGCGTAACGGCACATTAAAGGCATGCAAGTCCTTCCAATGCTCTTGAAGAATACGTGCGAACTGTAACGCGTCATCACTTTCCTTCACTGCACTTCGACGTTTTCTAGCGTGATCCGTGCACGAACGTCGCACACAATCCATTATCTGATCCATTAAAGCCACTTCATCATCCATCCTTAACATGCACACTCAACAACTCTTTTACAATCACGCATTCGTTTACACGTTAACCATCAACACACAGCTATTACCACAACCATCATCATCACCATAATCATACACTTATTCAAAACTATATATACCTTGAAAAGATACCAACAGTGTAGAATCAAGTGCACGAGAAATTCGTTTTTTAGATCAGAGAATATCTAACATACAATGAGCAATCATGAGATGTTCCACATTCTCATATCAGATATCAGAGGCATATAACAGAAGTGCAGTCGAACATCGTTTTCACTGATCAAGAGCACCTTTTTCGAATTACCGCAAACATTTAATAATGCTCAATTAGATCCGTTGTCTTAATTGTTGACATCAAGTCTTTCGTAAAGTAAATCCGTTCAGAACGTTGTTTGGCGAACGCATTACCAGAAGAATTCAATGAATAGTTGTTGCATATGACAGAATTCGGTGGCTTGCTCGATTCAATGGAAAGTAATTTCATTTGATTTCTCTTACGATGATAATAACAAAGATTGCCACGTACGCACTTACCCATTCATTTTTATCAGTCAAATAGGCTAGTGAAAGTGGAAGTTTGTAGGTGAGCTCGTACACACTTAGGATCATCTTGATGAAGTTACACTCATAGTCAGTGTTATTTGTATACTTGAAACGTACAATAATCAAGCATCATCGGTTGAGAATTTTTCTTAAAGATCACTGATCATATGTAAAATAAACTGCGATGCCCTTGTATCGAATCTTTGCAAATTGATTGTAGGTGAAATATATTTTGAAATGTTTTATATGAAATCAACAATGATAATAGTGGAACAGATCGATACGTCATATGTGGCTGAATGAACGATAGTATGAATATAACGATGACAAACGAAGTCAATCTCATCTCATATCTGCTTAGCTCACAAACGTATACCCAATACAATCGACAGAACGTGCATTAACACATTAATAACTGATCGTGACTGCACACTACACATATGTGAGCATATACCTAACCCCCCTGATCAGTTGTCCTGTATCAAATTTTTTGTCGTTCTTAAAACAAGTTCATGCTTTCAGGCTGAGCGGTGCGAAGTAAGCAAGAAGTTAAGGCAGCCAGGATATGCACATAAATGAATTATTAATCAATAACGGATAGAATGCCACTGAGTAATGAGGGGGTATATGAAATCTGAGATAAGACAGATGTAGGTAAAGACGGGTAGAGGCATGCCGCGTTGGCATAATGAAGGTGTTCGTTCGTTGAGTTTGCTCAGAGGACGAGCCGACGGATGAAAGGCCGAGGAGTGTGATGGTTGGATGGATAGAGGAAAGGAGAGGGTAAGGTGTATGTTGCTAGCATGCGTGCCGTGCCGTAAGGGGTAGATAACACAGTGGCTGGTTAGTGCTGCTGCTGCTGCTGGTGCTGGCAACGGCCAGATGTGCATTCGAATAAACCAATGCACTAGAGTTACGAAAGGCAACAAGAACGCAAGAAAGTAGTTGAATAAAGAAGAAAAAGCGTTGCTGCGCCGTTCACCTTATCGATTCATATCGAGCAGCTCAGAGCAAACATCGAAAGAGCGAACTGCTTGCGAGATCGTCGTCCGGTCATCGTATCACATCATCAAGCACTTTGATACTATGTCTAGTGAAAGCTGTATGGTTGTTATGCCTACAACTGCAAAGTTGTTGCTCACGCTTGATCGGCGTACTCCTAATGAAACACTGTGGTTGAATCACTCGTCATTTATACACTTTCATTTCATTTCATACTTATGTATATTCGAATAAGACGTGAAGAAATATCAAGACAAGATAACTCATTGTCGGTGACTGACTGTACTGAATTGATTAAACGCCATTGAGGAACACTTCTTCAAAATAAATACATAATACTGGTTATTGCTATAGGACGCCCCGATTCACAAACTGATTGACATCGACCGTTTTGATTACAGCAGTCATTATGGTCGCCTTTATCTGTCTCTTTTTTAAAATGTGTTATTGAACGAGGTTGATTAAATGATTAAAAATCTGTATTTCTATGAACTTTAAGTTTTCTTTTATTTAATGCACCGATTTCATTTCATTCTCCAAATTGTAATTAATCAGCTGAATAAGCGAACTTTCTCCGAAAATGAAAGTCAAACAAAAGCAGACGGACTTTAAGAACACGGTTAGCTGAAAACAATAATGATCGCTTGCGATGATATATTGAAATATTTATCATTCATACATATACTTTTATTCGATCACAGTGTGGAATTCGGAAGAAATTTGAAAAAGTGATCACTGAAAAGATTCTACATGAATAATGAATGATGAGAGTTTGTTACAGCAATAAAATGCTTAAAATAGTTTCACAAGGAAACGATGCGTAGCTTCTCATTTATGTACAAATGAGCTGTGAAGTGGAATTCAATGAATGAACACGATGAAATGAAACAATATTTGAATAATGACATTTAGTGCATGAACTCTTAATATTGATGAACAATGCCGAGCGTACGATCAATGTACTTCACAAAATTTGAGGTGTCATTCTGCGAGAACGGTTTCAAACAAGACACATCCGCCGTTTCAAGCGCAGTGACCAATTTCGCAGGAGTTGCGTAGATGATATGCCCTAATTCAGCTAAACGTTCAACCAATTCTGTCTGATGATTATCCATTAGATGTTCATTTATAACGACGAATCCCGCTTTCGAAAGCTCAAGAATTTCTAAACACGTACCTGCTCCTGAAAAGAATCTTTCTGACAACCACACAGCAATTTACCTCGATCAAGAAAGCGAGAGAATAACTGACAATCACACTGAAAATGACAATCCAAAAAAGTCAACTAACCACCATGAGCAATGACGATATGCGCACGTCTCAAATCCTCAATAATCGCCTTCTTGAATCGATAAAAACAAACTTGCATACCATACAAACTGAACCACTCATCATCGATACTATACCCGACCGGTCGGTATTTACCATTACCGCACTGTATGAGCACTGAACTTACACCACGTTCCTTTAACGCACTAATCGCTTCTTTGGTGCACACCGTTTCAATCAATTCATCGAATTGTGTACTGCCAACCGTTACGAAACAACTCATCTGACAATAACATATCATATCATATTACCATTCAAATTATAATTCCACAGTCCAACTTACCTCAATATCGAAGAAGCTCACCGACTGATGCTCTTAACCAGTTGTCTTTTTTCGCTTCGTCTAATCGCTCTTTTATTTGCTGCACTCGTTTTTTGTGACTTTCTGAATCGATACCGATATATTATGACAAAGATACACTCAAATAAAGTCAATCAACAATCCAAGAACATTGCAAAAGAACGTCTTAAATAAGGAAAAAACAAATCGACGAGTAGTCAATCCTCACCCTCCTCGAACTCCTCCGTATGGCTCTTCAATTCTTCGTAAAACGACGATTCCCAAAAAACGCGCTCAGTAAGATCTGAATAAGAAACAACATTGGATGATCACTATCGAATGATATTATCTTACCACCGTGCCATAGCTGTTGCCTTCTTTTCAAATCAATACACAAAACTGATCTTCACCAACTCAACAGTGCCGTACTTACGATGAGGATGCTCGAAACAATGTTTCATTGTGCATCGGTCCAAACGAAACTGTTTCGGGGCAATAAAAATGATATTTCATTTATTTAGCCAACAATTACGAGTTTATTTCCTCTTTCCGCATATTGGCAGAGGGAATCGTCGTCTTCATGAAATCCTATTGACTTGCTAATCAAACAAGTGATTACCCACACTGCCCAATAATTTCTAGAGTGATAGCCAAAAACACACTCGAATTGTTCGATGGAACATGCGAGTAATAATCGCTCAAAGAAGCTGTTGCAAACAACCGACAGCAATAAACTACATATCATTCTAGATCAACAGTAAAACACAACTTCAATTCAGGCAACCAAATAGATCCACATCGATTGGCATATTAAACATTCCACAGTCAAGCAAAACGAATTTATCGCAATCATATCCATAAATATGAAATGTATACTTACTTTTTGTACTTTTATTTTGTACTTTTGTACTTAGACAAATACTTCGTATTTGCTTGTAATATTTTTGGTTTTGAACTAACATCAAGAGGAACCTCATGCATTTAAAAATATTGGTAAGAACATATTCCCCGCTAACTACTGATTTAGTTATAAATCGTGCATGAGTGAAGCTCTCTTCGAGGAGTGCTTCCAAAATTGCTTCATAATTCAATGGGACGAATTTGTCTTCTGAGTAATATTCCATTAATCCTAGATAACGCCCCTATTGACCCATCAAATGTTCATGTTGATGTGAATGTTGTTCATATACCATCAGTGAATCAAGTCACTTTCAAAGCACTGCATCTTTTTCTCAACCAGTATCAACACTGCAAGTTGAAATATACCTAACTTCATGGAATCCTTAATTGCATCAGAAATATTCTCCTAACACAGATAAATTTTACTCAAGTTGATTGAGGAAGGGTACTTTGAAGCGCTACGTTAATGACTGAAACGAAATTGAAAAAGACAGCGAGACTAATTGAACTGAAAATTTAATGCTAGAACTCATGAAACGTTTAAAATTTGAATGCGCTTAGAGGATATTGAAGAGCTAAATGAATCAATCAGAAACAGCAAAAGGTAAAATGAAGAGCAAAATAGCGAAACTCACTGAACTAAAATCATCCAATAAAACTGAGGAAGAGATGGAAGAAGAGAATGAAATTGAAAAAAAAATTCACCAATAAAGGGCTAACTAAACCGCTCACATAGCTGAACAAAATTCTTGCGTGTTTCGAAGGAATAGATAACAATACTGTAAGATCTACGGAATTCAACACGCTAGACAATGTTACTGTAAAATTCATTAAAGAAAGAAGAAGAAACGTTCTTTTTATCGAAGACCAACAAACTTCTCAAAAAATGTAATGTTCAAGGACGAGACACCTTTGAAGATGATCACTACGATAATCCACAATCTTTAAAGATACGCTCAAAACGTAATCTTTAATTAATTCATAAGTGTATCCTCTAAGTTCAGTTTGTGACATTCAATTTCATACAAATTTCTCATCGTGCTTCAAACCTCAAATATCGTTTCAATCATCAATATGTATACATCATTGTTCTTGTTATTGTGTCTATGTAAAACTATTTATGGTTTCAAATTCAAAAAACTTTGCTGTACGCGTATATACTTAAAATACATCAAAAACGTCTTCTAACCCTCGCAATACGTCGTTCTTACTGTCAAAATATGTGTACGAGCATTCATATTTTTCAATGACGTGATAAATAACACACAGCATACATCAGTATATAATGTGTTATTTATCACGTCACGCTTAAAGATTTCCGTACTAGACGTATACAATTATTGAAAGGGTGCTGTTCATACGTTATTCGAATACAATTGAAAACGTCTAATGTTATGCGAAGACGTTAATGATGAGATATTTCACTTTTAGAAGTGAGAATGTTTCGTCGCAGATCATAACTGTGCTCAGAATTACGAGCACATCTTATTTATGTGGAACACCTCTACTAAAATTCGTTTGTAAGCTCTGTTTGCAACTCCTCTCAACCATATACGCGCTGAAGAATTAATTTCTCAATGATCGAAATGAAACAATGCCACATAATGGAATGATGTGGTTCCGATCAAATTGTTTCTCTTCACAACTATGAACAACAGATGAGTAACCAAAGAGCAACCTTTGGGTGGTTTCGTTTGTTTCGGTGACAAAACCAACGATGTGCGATTGGTCGGTGAACGATCAGAGCAGAAAGCTGCTGCGAATAAACGATGATCGTTCATTTATTTGATGATCTTCTCATTCAAACTTACGTGAGCAACAAATAACTCAAACAGTACCGCTCTTCACTGACAATTTCTACAAAATTAATATCATTCATTTGAACGCAATCAACAACTATCACTTCGCTTATTTCTAACAACTAACATTTACGTATCTCAACTACAAATACCTTTCACACGAGAAAATCAAACGAATAAATTTTGCCTAATTTAGCATTAAATAAACCACTTTTCTCGTAATTCTGATAGTGAATAATTTCACAGTTTTGTAAATAGGAAACGAATTATGATATGGCGATATGCTTGCGCATGCCTAGGTTATGAAATAACCAAATAAGTATGAAAGTTATTGACAAACAAAAAATATGTTTACTGTTGAAAGTTTGCATTAATCAGAAACATTTCTGAAATCACCGAAGCGAAGATCAATAAAAATCTATATGAAAAAATAACAACAATCGTAGAAATATTTCATATAAACCAATTTCCAAACAACGCTTGAAATACCAAACGACTTCACCCAATAACAAATAACCGCTGATAAACATCATATAAAACAAATATGAATAAATGAACTCGTTTAGTGAATCAAGAAATGATTATTAAGCCGAATGGAGACGATAGAACCAATAAAACGGTTATGACTTATTCAGAGCATAAAGATGGATAGGAGGCAGGAGAAAACAGTGAGTATCAGAGCGTCAAACACTTATCATCTTTTGACTGTGGCACATTCCTTGGACGTTTATGTCACCATGTAAAGAGAGTTCCACTTTTCGTAGATTATTTAGACAACTTTGAAAGATTGAAGCAATAAATAACGCAAAAAAGATTAGTTGTTGGATTCAATGAATCCTTTAACAACACGCCAAACGCTTTCGAAGCTCATCAATTAAGTCCGCGAGCGGAACATCCTGAAATTTACAGAAATCAAACATTTTTGATGAATTTTTGCGCACGGTTTCCTTACAGAAGGGAAATTATTACACAATATCGATAAACGACCAAACAAACGGTAATCATCAACTCACATTTTCTTGCCTATTCTCTACGTTCCGGATTTTTACAACACCCTCTTGCAACTCGCGTTCACCAACAATCAGAACTAACGGTATTGAACGCTCTTCACAATATTGCAATTGTGTTAACATTTTTGGATTTGCCTTATATGCCATTTCTGCCTGAATTGATAAAATAAAGAAACATTCAAAGCAAGAAACATTTGTTCGAATATTCATCACAGCACTTACGTTCACATCATTCTCCCACAATAATTTACACAGTTTCATCCGTTCTCGTAACAAATTCTTTTGTGCTGATGCAACGAAAACTTGTGTTTCTGTAGTACGAACTGTTGACTTTTCCGACTGCAACAATTGGTTAAGCAGTTAACAAGAAATGATAAAATGTTACATTCCATTTTGATCCGGCAACCTTTCAGAATAACTTTCTTGAATTGAAATTTAATCACGGGCTGTTGTCAGACCAGAAGACAACTTTCTAAGAGATCAGATCTGGAGAATTCTAAGGTTCGAAAACCACGATGTAGGCTTAGGCCTCAATGAAAAGAAAAGACTTTCACCAAGCAGCCTTTCAAAGTAATATTTTGAAGTGAAATTTCGCACAAGTTGTTTCTAGAATAAAATGTGTACATTTCTGAGGCTAGACTTTACAAATTCCAACTTGCGAAAAGAACTATCATCCTGCAATACATGGAGGAGAGGTAAGGAAATCAAAGGAAACAGTGGAAGAAGACTTTGAGAAATACTGATACAAATGAATAACCTCAGCTTTCATTTCCATAATACTGAAGAGACGTTCGATTCCAAATGATACACCAACACATGGCACTGCTTGTTTCTTTGGTGAAAACATGGCCACTAGATTATCATATCGACCGCCAGCAGCCACTGAACCAACATTTGTCGACGAGATCTCATCTGCTGAAGCTGTTCCATTCCTTTTATCATCTCCACTCTGACATTCCATAGTATAACCCTTCACAACAGTTTCGAATATCGCTCCGGTATAATAATCCAATCCTCGCGCCAATGCCGGATCGAATTGAATATTCTTGTCGATACCATAAATAGAACAATAATCAAGCAGAAGTCTCATGTCAGTGACTGCTTTCTTTACTGATGCATTCGCACCCGTTTCAGTATCCTTTTCGAAGAATTTCAACAACTCTTCATTCGACGCCGTAACATTCTGATCTCGTATTCTGACGAACTTTTGCAACTTGTCAACTGCATTTTGGTCGATGTGCTTCTCATCAATGAGCTCACTTCGAACCTCACTCCATGCAACTTTGTCGAGTTTATCAATTGATGAACACACAGTCTTGAAATCCGATTCTTTCATACCACTCACTGCGAACATTCCTTCCAACATAAGACGATGATTGAGCTGAAAACAGAGCTAGAGTCGCCGCTTGATTCGCTTTCCGCCTTTCTTTTAGAAGAACTCACTGACAAAGAAAGAAACAGACCTTGATTTGGAAATCACCTAAATCCAACGAAGTTAACACCTCATCGATAACCTTCAAGCACTCTGCCTCGGGTAACATAGCGTCGTACTGCCCAGCAATATCAAAATCCTAAAATCACATAAGTGTTGCACAGATGAATAAACAACTGCTTATCACAGAGCAAATTCACTAACACACTGAAAGAATTCTCGATAACGGCCTCGTGTCATAACTGGCTGATCGCGACGATAAACCTTCGCGATGTGGTATCGTTTGATATTCGTCACTTTATTCATGGCTAAGTAACGAGCGAATGGTACCTTGAATTGAATTCAACAATCATTTCAGTCGAGTAACAACGATTATATTATAAATCAAATAACTAACGGTGAGATCATAACGTAGACTGAGCAGTTCACCGCCTTGGTCAGCTAAATCAAAGATCAATTTTCCACCCTCTTCGCCATATTTACCCAACAAAACATCTCTTAATTCGAATACTGGTGTATCAATCGTCTCTGCACCGTGTCTTTTAAAACTATCTGTGACAATTCGTAACACCTTCTCGCGAATTGCCATTGCTTTCGGACCATAATCACGCGTTCCTGAACAATTTTTTTACAGTTCATCTCATCAGAAACTAGCATGAAAGTTTATCTGTACTAGAAGTAATCGAATGAAAAACTTTAAAATCATCAAAAGAAGAGAAAAATCAAAACCTTTCGGGCATTTCAACACAAACTTGCCACCACCTTCATCACCAAGTAGTTTCTTCTTTTCCAACATTTTAGCAATTTTCTCTTTGATCTTCAATAACAAATAATATTTTATTACAACTAAGATAGATCAGCAGGCTAGCAATTACCTTTCTACCACTTCGATGTGTGTAAACGATTGATCTGTTCGAGAAACGTGATAGAATCATTTAAATAACTGAAAACGATTGTCAAAGCCACTTATCTGCTCATCAAACAAATCCACTTTCAGTGCAGTATTTATGCGTTCGGAGCGCGTTCAACATCAAACAAATTCTATTTTTTGACTGCGCATTAACACTTCAACTCAGCATCAGGTTGGAGCACAACAAAAAATCAATCACTCAAATTCACTCACCAAAATCGAACTGATTTCAACTTCAATAGTACGCACCGGCAATCAGACTGGTGCCTCAAACGAGCCTCTACAAGTCACCGATGGGTATTAGTAAAGTTCAAATTAGTCCGAACTCGAATTTCAGTAGTTAAAAGAAAAAAGTAATTTTATTCGAATGAAGGTTTGTGACAGCCTCCTCCTATCCTCCATCAGTTACCTAATTTTTAAACACTACTTTAGACTAGTCAAGAAATTTTAAACGTTAGCAGAGATATGATCAAAAAATGTGACTTGTACCAGCTCAGCATCGGCCTTTGATTCCTTTAGGGCTCTAATTTGATCACCTAATGCTTTCACTTCCATTCGAAGAGTTTCTTTCTGAGCCGTAGTCAATTCTACATCCGTCATAGTGATGCAATAATACTGATGTGATCAACTTTGATATTATCTAAAAATATTTATTTCATCGTTCACTTCAAAGTGCGAAACAATGTTGGCGAAAATACAGCTATCATTAACACACAAAACAATGAAAATGTGAAGTAGTAGCAATCCGAGAGACCCGATAGTACTCTATGTCTTGCAGTATAGATCAAAGAAAAAAGGGTGTGGTCTAACATACACGGAACACGCCTCATCCATCGTACGCACGAAGACATTCTGCCACAGCTACCTTCGCATATGTCCATAAGCTATCAGGATCATTATATTCAAACTAACGGTACCTTCAGTTTTGCACTGTATCATGATTGTTTATCCCCGCCGTCGGCTTCTTCAGACTCTTTAGTTTCAGAAAAGTCAAAAATCAAATACACGTTAACAAATCCGAAAATACACCATTGTACAGGACAAAAACCGACGCGATGCGAAAAATCCAAATTTGGGAAGCAGAAAAGGCAAAGAAACCTGAGTTCAATAAAAACATTATTGGGTTCACATTATTATCTGTATCACCTAAAAAGCATTAATTAAAAACATATCGAACAAGCTGCTCGATACAAAATCACTGAGGATAAATATGATCTGCCAGTGGCAAGAGTAATCAGCGACATAATACATCAAATCGTCAATTATCAATTCCAAGCTTTACTTAATATCATCAAAATATAACAATTGATCAATTTCTTCATGAATGAGCACAACTGAACCATTGCGATTGTTTCCAAATTAGCTTTACCTTGAAGTTATCAGTACGCTTAATTGCACGATGCTCTGGGATGAAGGATATGCGAAAGTGCGTTAAAAATACTTCATATTTCGCTCACAACATTCATATTCTCATTCAGCCATCATTCAAGTCTGTCGTGTTGTTTTGTGAGATGAATTGATGCTGCGTGTGTGACGTAATTCATGATTTTATGCATTAATACTTTTCTGGTATAATTCATCATTGCGCCAGAGATATTCTGGGATCAAATATCCATCTAATTTTTTAACCTCATTAGTATCATAGTGTTTCAAAGGTTGGCGACTGTATAGATTAAGAGAGGAAATAATAAGGGGACAGGTTTCGCTAAGGAGACAGGTAGGAAAGATCGTCCGAGTCCAATCGTTGAAATCAGTTTCAATATTGAAATATGGTGATATTCGCAGTTTAGGTGATATCTTATTAAATCATCACCATCGGTATATTAGTTTAGAACGCTAATAACGTGTGTGAATAATTTATTAATGAGAAATGTGTTATCAATGAAAATCGTACTGAACCGCGTATAATGAAGACTGCGAATTAGTATCGTTTCAGGTATGCACAATTATGAAGGTGAGCGAGCTAGCGAACAGGCTACGGTAATGGTCGTTAGTAACAANAGCAAACTGGTCATTGGTCATAGTCATTACGGTAGCGCGCAAACTCCAGCGTCACTGATCACTAAGCGTGAATCATTGGGAATCGACGGTGGGTAATTGGTTCATTTTTGTGATGATTTAATTAATTTGTTATTTGTTGCTTTGGAATGACTTCATTGTCACTCAGTGTTGCTAAATTTCCCCGATCTAACGTGAATCTAGCATATATTTAGTGAGTATGGTGTATCGCATGAATATTCAGTGGTAGACGTGTTGATGTGGGCTATCAAATAGTTACGTGATAGCAGTCATAATACTGATAGTGATGTTGATACCTTTGGTCATATAGCATTGTGATGATATATGGTCGAAATTGATACATAATCTTGTTAGCATTTTACCGTTGTTCAATTCTAGATAGACTGATTTCGACGCACATACGAAGACGAGAATCGGCGGTGGTGGCCAGACGGCCTTCGATGGTGGTGGTGTTATCAACAGCTAGACTTATCAGCAGTCCACAGCTGTCACTGTAGCAGTATCAACAACAACAGTACGCTTATCAACATCAACATCAATATCAGTATCAACAACAACAGTTATATAGCAAGAAATACGACAGAAAGGCGCGAGGAAGCGCCAGGTTAGGAATCTCAACTTTATTGTTTTCTTCATTTTCCTTTTCACTAGGATACGAATGAATGATAGGTAACACAACCTTGTTTTTCATCATTCATTTTCACTTCATTTTGAACTTAGGGACTGCAAAATAAAATTGAGTCGTGGTCAGTGACCACATTTTATGCATGCTTCATTCTTTCATTCATGCATTCATCTGTAAATTTTTATGAATTGTGTGTTTGTATATGTTGCTGATTATTTGTTAGCCATAATTTGTTTATATTAAACTCATGATGGGTTTTTGATTATATGACACTGATGTTGCTTTGTATTATTTAGTGATATGAAACTTATCATTGTGGAATTATTATGTCATGCTATTTTCGAGTTGCTTATGGCACCTCTTATTTCTTTATCGGGTGATTGTTTTAATGCTTTCTGATTTTATTGTTTATATTATTCATGCTATATTGCCATTATTATTTTGAGTTAGTGTTATTACTGTTCAGTGTGATGTGTTTCTATTCTTGTAATGTCATATACAGGGAAATTTAATGAGCCATCACCATCACTATTTATCAGTCATTTTCTACGATATCCACGAATTTCTATTACCCATTTGAAGGCACTCTGGATGGCACTAATGCGTATATTCTGAGGATATTTCAAATTATTTTCTGTGAACCGTCGATTCAGTCTCCTCCGAAATGAAAAATCTCATCTGAAACAATTGCATATGGAAGAATGAAAAATACGTGAAATCTGAAATGGCTCATTACATTTTGATTCTCATTTATTCGTTCGTATTCTAAATTAAATGATTTATGAAATACTATCGTATTCATTGTTAGCCATTGTCAGAAATGTTTTCACTATGTATTTGTTTATTCATTTTGTGCATTCATCATTGTTATCAATGTTTTGCATCATTTTTTAACTGATGCGGTAGGGCGAAGGAGGGATGCGGCACGTGATGACCCGCTTAACTCCGGAGCCAGAGGTAGGGACTTGGACTGCATACAAATATGGCCCGTCCCACCTAATTGAACTTCTTTTTTCATTTTGTGCACCTCTCTAATCACTCCCCCTAACATTGACTCGAGTACGTGTTGGACTCTAGTATAGATACAAGACTGACACATATACTGATATCAATTGAGTCAGTTGTGACAGATTTCACTCAGTTTGATTTAACTTAGTTCTAATTGGCACAAAATTGATTTGATTTAGCTTGACCATTAAAACACACCGATTATGAGTTAAACATCTGAAACGACATAAATGCAATTCTTTCATGAGTTGATGCATCGTTTAGCGGATTCGGTACTGTTTGAGATTGACTGACCTTGATTTAAGTCTGACTTTGAGCTTCCTTGAAGTCATTAAACTTGACTTGGACTTGAATTGACCTGACCAGACTTTAGGCATGCGATTCACAGAGGAGTTTAGTCATTTATCCATAACCCGATGGCAGTGACATAGTAAACTAGTAGCTCAGGAACAAGCTCTCGGAGCTGGTCGCTCCTTAAAGGAAGGGTAACGCATAAGAGAAATTTTGTTTAGTTTGCTGCGGCAGGAACTAGAGCAGGTGTTTACAACAGCTGCACTGGCATAAGAAAAGAAGAAAAATATCACTACAGAAATGAGCTTCACAAACGTAGGGTATGAATGGCCTTATGAAGTTAGCGGTAGGTCTGGA